TTGCCAATCCGCTGTAAACGAGGACTGCGGCTGCCGAAGGAAATCCATCCGAACCTACGATGCGCTTACTGTGTGCAGATGGCAAACCCACCTCTCCAGAATTTTGACAAGCAGCTCCAAGTGATGCTGCTGGAGCGCTGGAGACGCGTTCCTGCTTGCAGATCGGACTGTCAGTCTGCCTCCTCTGCGACGTGAACCAAAGCCTCCTCTGGAGTTGACGGGGCAGTGCTGTCGCTGCGCGCTGTATCAACCACGCTGTACCTCAACATCAAGCACCACTCTGAAAACTCTGACATACGCAGAGTTCATTCGTGTAGCAGGCTTTGGGTTCCAGGAGCATGATGACAGTTCAGGCGCGCACGCGTACACGGAGTTTGCGAGTAAGGCAGAAAGGCCACCAGCCTCCAACCAGGGGAATGTGCTCCGAAAACTCCGGAAAAAACAGCGTCAAGGCAACTTGAGACCGTGGATATCCGGAGACATGGAGCCTTGAAGTCAGAGATTAGTGTCCCTCTATCCCACAACCTGAACAACAAACTAAGAACCATCCTAACTACCGCACTCAGAAGGCTTCTTTGACGCCTATGGGGGAAACCCGCCCACTGCGTCGTGACATAGAAGATGCAAAGAAAGAGCGCACCCTCGTTTCTAGACTGCTGCGGCAACTACTTGCACACTGCCAATGCAACTACGCTGCGCTTCATTGGCGCTGCGCTTCATTTGCACAGATTTCAAATGTCAAAGGAGCAAGCATTGCCGAATTGTCATTGGCAAGAAATCGATGGAGTCACTGTCGAAAGCTTGAAAGGCTGAAAGCTTCTCAAGCTCTCAAACAGAGGCTGTGTGGCAAGACTGAAGGCTGGCTCCTGCAGGAGCCAAGGAAGACGCTGCAAAGTTGCCACACCAGGTCACTAAACGTGGCCTCAAGCTTGCAGCAACGTTGGCTGCAAGCTACTGAGGCTCAGCTCACTCACCACGGTCCTGAGGAGAGCCAGCGCATGCACAACCAGATTTGATTCACCAAAAATGCGCTACGATGCGCGACACTCTGATCAATAGTCGCCACATGTCGCCACCGTCTCATGACGCTCGTCAAATGTGCTCAAAGCATCCATGAGTAACATTCCTACTACTTGCCAGATCTTGCAAGCACGCTGCTCCAGCGCCAGCTCTGCTCCCTGTCCCAACTGCCGTGGCGCGAACCTCAGTGACTGCAAGCGAAGTTACGCGCTGCCAAACGGTGTGCATGCGCTGGCAGAAAGCAGCCCACCGTCCATCGGCTTCAAGGTACTTTATGCGATCCCCGTTCAGTTGTTTCAGCCGGGGTGCCATCCCTATCCCACCAGCTTGCAGGCCACTCCTCGACAGTGTCTGAGCCTTAGTTGACGGGTCTGTCTGTGTTGCGCACAGTGAACACAACAACGTACGACGCTCTTCCTCCTTTTGTGCAAGTTGCCGGAGGTTCGTCGCCGCTTGGAATCGCCGCGATGGAGCTCTTGGTCTTCGTATCCTGCGCGATGCTCGGCAACAAGATTGGCATTGGGCGCAAGATCGGCCCTCAACCGCTACAACATTAGAGGCAAGAACAGGCGCACAACAAAGCGGGTCCCGTCACGTTACAACATGTTACAACCAGATTCACAAGTGCCGATTCTTTGAGAGGAGCATAAATCTTAGGAGGCAGGTCCGAGTTGTGCAAATGCTGCGCCTCGGGCGTCGTGCCGACTGCTTTGCCCGTTCTGGGAACGTTGCTGCCACCATCCTCGCCAGCACGCTCCAGAGCACAATGGAGCCAAGCAACCGATCCATACCGATTTGCACAGCCCTGAGGTGAGCACCGTCGTTACTATCCCAAGTTGTCTGATGCCTGGCGGGTGGAAAATTCCATGCTCTTAGCGCCGGTCAAGTTACTTCTGGGCGCCTCCAGTGATTATGCCAGTGAGGCTCATCTTCATGGGGCCCTGCCGAATGTGCTGTGACCGCGACAAACTGGCCCCAAGCTTCGGCTCAACCTGAGGTCCGGGCCAGCGTGCTCAACGTGCGCGGCCTCACGCTGCCTCTTGCGCTCGCCACGGGTGGGATAACCTCGGCCGATTCATGGAGCATGAGCTGCCCACCGCTTGCCAGTTCAGCCGCGAAACGTGGGCGGTCTTCCGGAGGACACATGCGGTCAAAGGACTTCTTCCAGAAACAACAAATGTCCTGGCAGGAGCTACCGAGTCACCACGTCACGAAGAGCTCAGCAGTGCTTAGCACGTTTTTAATGGAAACGAGAGCTCCTCTTTGGCAGAGGATGCGAAATGCACCTCATCGTCCGCCAGAGGCCATTGGCGGATGTCTTTGCGACCGGAGGTCACATCGCACTCTCGCATTCGCAGGAAGTGTCTCAGACAGGGAACAAACATGCTGCAGTGGCTTGCGCAAAGGACCCAAAGTGACAGAAAGGCCCCCACCTAATTTCCTCCAGGTTATCGTCGTACGCGGGCCTCGGGTCCAACAACGTCCCGCGATATCGCCTCAGCCGTGCACACAAGCAAGTCTCTGCACGTGGTTTGGACTGGATCTCGTCGCCAGCTGTCTGCGCCCGAGGCTCTCATAGGAGCCAGCCACAAGGAAGACCACGTAATCAGCCTTGACGTGCGCTATATCAACGATCTGTGCCCACGTTTCCAACTGCCACCGCTTGAGGTTGCCTCAGGCAGCAATTACGTACTGCCAGCACATGCAATCTATGTAGCACCCTTGAGCATATCAATCTCAGCTCCCGGCCGCGGAGCACATCGTTGCCAAAGTAGGAAATTCCCAGACAGCGGCAGCGGGGCATTGCCTTGAGGGCCTGCAAAGTGCACAAAAGAGATCTCAAACCCCCCAAAAAGCCATCCAGGCCCCGGCCTCCAGGATGTAGGACGCTCCACCCCCCGCCTTGTAAGTGACTTCCGTGGGGGCCCCCAGCATCTGCTCGAGTTCCCCCTTCAGGGGCCTCTTCTTCTTCCCACTTTTGGTATACAGGGACGAATCCCCAAGGAGCTGGTATCGCTCCTCATCCATGGCTGCAGCTGCTTCAACTGCTAAGCGTGAAGGTGCTGTCCAGTTGTGGAGTCTAGGGCCCAAACAGTCTGCCTGAAAATCTTTTCCTAGCTCGTGCAGCTGCTGTGGCGGTCGTGCCCCAGCATCTGGACAGTCATTTGAACTACTCATCTGACCAGTCTTGGCCGCTCTTTTTCACTACTTGAAACGTGGCAACATGTAGGAAAACAAAAAAATCCTACTCTACACATCGGCTCACATCGGTGTTGCTCCTTCTGAAAACAGTACGCGTCTTTGCTAAGATTTGCGCCATCTGACCCAGGCTCTCAGCTCAGGAAATGGCAGCTGGGTGCCAGCACAGCGGGCATGCAGGTGAAGAGAGCACATTGACATGAGCAAGGTCAGCTGTCACGCAGAAAGGTGCAACCTCCGACTTGCTTCGCAATTGTGGGATTGACCCTGCATTGCCCTGAGGCCTCCTCCGTGTCCTGCACTGCAGAGTGGGCATGTCATGGCTGCACGAGGCACAGGGGCTGCTGACTAGCCGACTAGCCGACTAGCCACAGCCAGCGAACCCCCTCCTCTGCAGAGAGAGCGCGGAGGACGCCTCGTGGAGCCACTTCTGATGCCGCAGTGCCACGAATCACTTCGCGATTCTGAGCGCAGCACTGTCCAGATCCAAGCCATCCGCGAAGTCCATGTTCTGCACACTGCCTGGAGGCTTCCCCGTGGCAAGGGCAGATGCAAAAGCAAGGTCTCAGGGTAGAAAGGGCACAACCTCGATCCGAGCATGAGGTAGCTCATCCGCAGTCGCAGCAACGTCTTTGCCAGTTTGATGTTGCAGGCCGCACATGTTACTTTAACGAGCTCTGCGACACCAAAAGCTTTCCTTAGAATCAGTCATCTCCCCAATATCGAGTGTCATTATGGATTCGTGTCCATTATGGATTACTGCGAATGCTTCTGAATAGGGAGGTTTGGTCTGCGCTTCACACGGTGAAGAGCAGGGCCGCGGCTTGCAGAGCTCTCGCTGCAGTCGTCTGGGCCAAGGACCTCCAGCCTTGCAAGAGCCACCAAAAAAGTGCATCAAACGCGGCTCTCCGAAAGAGCTATACGCACAACTTCATCCCCTTTGATCGCTTGAGCTTGCTACACCTTTCACCTTCATGGCGTTGTGGAAACGAACTTTCACCTTGTGCTAGGTTGCGCGAGTCTTGCTTTACTGAAGGCAGGTCCCGGACAGATGGCAAATTGCAGAGGAGCGCGCTCGGGCTTGGCATGGCTTGGCCCACGCGCACTCAGGGCGCCGTGCCTCTGACGGAAAGCGCGCGGAGACTGTAAGTTGAAAAGCATGCATGAAGCAGTTATCGGACAGCCCTCATCCATGAAGGGCACAATGTCCTGAGGCCGCAAAACCCCATGGCGAGGCTGGGCATCTCGTGAGCGATGTCGACCACGGAGATGTCTCCTGGATTCTCCCCTGCTCTCACGTCTTTTATCAGCTCACAACTTAGTCTACTAGCCCAGCTATATAGACAAGCTCCGGCTCAAACAGCACACCGTAAGACCCCCTCCGCAAATGTGTGACATGGTGTCTGGGAGGCCGAAATGGCGCAGTGATGTCGCAAACAGAAGCACTGGCCTCGAGAGAAGCCACCTCATCTTCACTCGGCCTCATCAGCCACATGTGCCAGACTAAATCCGACTCAGGCAGCTGGATCGTGCAAGGAACACTTATGCGTCATAGAGGGCCGTGACACCCATCAGAAGATGTCAAGATGTGGTAAGTAAGAGCGCACCCTCATTTCTGGACCCCGGCGGCCTACTCTCGCCAGGAAGTCACTTGAACCTCTTTGGCATAATGTTTCAGCTTCACTTCCATGTTGCTGAGCACGATCCCCATGTCTCAGGCCGGGTTGTTGTCAAACTTGTGGTCCAGGTCAATCTTTGGGTCCATGTAGACGAAAGCTTAGTACATCTTGTGCTAAAGGCAAGTCATGTGCTCCGCTGCTTGAAACAAAGTACTTCTCTGCGTCCCACCGTGCACCTTCGCTTGTATTTGCCGATCTTTTGGTCCATGTTGGCGCCAAGTGCCTGGGAGGTCGCTGCCCAAATCATCAGGTGTTCGGCGTACCCTACCGTCTTCTTTTCATGCAGAACTGTACTCTGGACCTGGTAGCCTTGCTGGAGAAAGATATACGTTTTGCGCAAAACGCACTGCCCTTTCTGCCACCTTGAAATTGGCAGAAAGGCCCCCATCTGATCTTCTGCAAGTTGTCGTCACGCTGTGGCCGCAGTTGCGATACCGCGTAAGTCATGCACACTAGCAAGTCGATCTGAACATGGTTTGGGCTGGATCTCGTCGCCGCTGTCCGTGCCCAAGGAGCCAGCAATTAGAAACACTGGTTTCCATAATTTCTCCACGAAGGTTGAGCTGCCACTGTTGAGCTTGCCTCCGGTACAGCGAAGCCCTATGCACTTTCAACAGAAGGCCTTGGGCCTTGGAATTCCATGTCATTGCGTCGCGAGCGAGTTTCGCACGCTGTTTCGGGTTGCAATTCTGCAACGAACAAAAAAGATGTAAAAAAAAAAAAGTGTAGAAACCCGATTGCAAGTTTCGTGCGCCAAGGACCCTGCAGGGAGCTAAATTGCAGGGTTTTCCATGCTGCGAGCTCCACAGGATTTCATGAAGCTGAAGTGGTTTCATAGCTTCATTTGCTGAAGCAGCTGACGCAAAAATAAAACTGGCAAACGCAGCATTCCTGACAACGAAACCCGATCGTAGCTAAGAACGCGGGAAGGCTAAGAAACCTGTGCGAAGCAGTTTTAGAATACCAGCTCCTTGGCGATTCTTCAATGTACGTGAACGCCCGCAAAAAGACTTGCAGCTAGCTCTCTTGCCCAGCGCTGTTGCCGCGACTGACTCATCCTGATCAACATCTCCATGACTCGTCTGGGCTCGCGGCGAGCGGGCCGATGGGCCGCAGGTAGGGGATTCCAGAGACATTGCCCCTGACGGTTCAAGCGATCTGTTGGACAATCATCTTACAATACCAGGCACGACTATGACTGCTAGCGTTTGAAGATGTAGTGCTGGCAAGTCGCCAAGGCTGGAGGCCTGCAGGACGCACCCTTCCGGAAGTCGATGGAGACGACTGTTTTTTCATTCGGCCTGTATGCTACATGCTGAATCTCGACCACGATTTCGGCACTGGGGCATGCATGTGGCAAGTGTCATCAACACAACCTTTTCCGTGGTCACTATGCGCAGGCTTCTGGCGCATATCCGGCATATCCATTTCGTGTAATGCCAGGCGAAAGTGGTAGTTTCCCTAAACAGGGGGACCCCAATATATACCCCCAAAGATACTAGAATCTAGAATCCTCACTGCGAGCACCCTCCAAAAGGGTACCCCTAATTTTGGGAAATGACAGCAAGGGCTGAGCTCCAGGCCGCTCCGTGACCACTGCGGGCTGAACTCCGGTCTGCATGAGCCTGGATTACGCGTGCGAAAAAAGAAAGCTTCTTTGAAACCTGTGGCCGAAACCCACCCATTGTGTTGCGAAGGCCGTGAAGCCGTAGAGCTGTTGGAAATGCAAAGGGAGAAAGCAGCCCCCTTTTTTGGCCCGCTGGGGCAACCAGTTGCAGACTGCCAAAGGAACTACACTGCGCTTCATTGGCGCTACGCTTGATTGGCGCAGGTTTGAAATTAGAAGAAATCGCCCTTGGCAACAGGATTAGACTTATGGCATCCAGCTTTCGAGCTTCTCAAAGAACCTGCGCGGCAAGAATGAAGCTGGCTCCTGCAGGAGGTCAGGAAAATGCTCCAAAGTTGCCACACGAGGCCACTGAACATGAGGTTCGACTGCAGGTATGAGCAGAGGCCTCAAGCTTTCAGCAGCGTTGGCTGCAAGCTGCTGAGGCACGGTCCAGAGGAGTGCCAGCATATGCACGACCGGACTTGGTCCACAGAAAAACACTTTCTGCCACCTTGGCTGAGGACATACCGCGAGAACACACAATTGCGCATTCGGCCAGATATTCTGATTTTCTGGCCGACTACACAAGTTGTTGTTGTCAGCCATGCACACGAGCAAGTCGATCCGAACATGGTTTGGGCCGGATCTCGTCGCCAGCTGTCTGTGCCCGAGGCTCTTGTACCAGCCCGCCACGAGAAAGCACACCTAATCGGCCTTCGCATCGGCCGTCTCTACATTTTCTTGCCGCAAGTGGAGCTGGTGCTCAGTGAGGTTGCCTCAGGCACGGCGGGCAAACCCCACAACCCAATCACTCAGTCGCTCCTTGGAGATTCGTCCCTGTACACTAAAAAAAGTGAACCAAAAAAAACGAAGACCCTCAAGGGGGATCTCGAGCAGATGCTAGGTGGGCCAACAGAGGTCACCTACAAGGCGGGCGGTGGAGCGTCCTACATCCTTGAGGCCGGGGTCTAAATGACTTTTTGAAAACCATCCAGGCCACGGCCTCAAGCATGTACGACGTTCCACCTCCAGCTTGGTAGGTGACCTGTGTGGGTCCGCCAAGAATCTGCTCCAGATCCCCCTTGAGGGGCTTCTTTTTTTGTTCACTTTTTTCGTGTATAGGGACGAATCCACAAGGAGCTGGTGTCGCTCCTCATCCATGGCTGCAGCTGCTTCGACTGCTAAGCGTGAAACTGCTCTCAAGTTGTGGAGTCTAGGGCCCAAGGAGTCTGCTTGAAAATATCTTCCCAGCTCATGTAGCTCTTGAGACCGTGGTGCCCTATCATCTGGGCACTCGTTTGAAACATGGGAACGTGTAGGAAAGGAAAATCCGAATCCATGTATCAGCGCAAAAGGTATCTGAGAGCATGCCGCACTTCCTAATTTTTTCGCCCACCTGAGCCCGGCTCTCAGCTCAGGAGATGGCGGCGGGTGCCAGCACAGCGGGCATGCAAGTCAAGTGAGCACATTGACATGAGAAAGGTCAGCTGTCACACAGAAAGCCGACGAGGCCGGAGGCCTGCAGGACGCACCCTTCCGAAAACCTCTTTTTGTTTGATTTTCTGGTCCTTTTGCAGGTTTGGCCTAGATGAAATGACAGCAAAGGCTGAGCTCCAGGCCGCTCCGTGACCACTGCAGGCTGAACTCCGGCCTGCATGAGCCTGCCAGAAGCGGGCGAAAAGAAGCTTTCTTTGAAACCCATTGCCCAAACCCACCCTTTGTGCTGTGAGCGCCGTGAAGCCGGAGAAGCTGCAAAACGAGAGAGCGCCCTCATTTCTGGACTGCCGCGAGCAAGTACGTGCACACTGCCAAAGGAACTACGCTGCGCGTCATTGGCGCTGCGCTTCATTGGCGCAGGTTTGAAATTGGAAGAAACTGCGCTTATCCGCCCTTGGCAACAGACCCAGATTTTACACGTCCAACTCGAGGACTCTTGCCAGCTTCCGAGCTTTTCGAAGAACCTGTGTGGCGAGAATGAAGCTGGCTCCTGCAGGTGGTCAGGAAACTGCTACAAAGTTGCCACACGAGGTCACTGAAGATCAGGTTCGACTGCAGGTATGAACGGACGCCTCAAGCTTTCAGCAGCGCTGGCTGTCCAGGCTTCCAAGATCACCACCGTCCTGAGGAGTGCCAGCGCACGCACAACTGGACTTGGTGCACTGAACACATAAGGGGACCTGATCAAAAGTGGCCACCCTCTCAGGACACTGGGCTCACGAAGCCCGTGCTCAAATGTGCTCAGATCATCCATGAATAACGTCCCTACTTTCAAGCATGGTGCTCTGGCCCCCGCTCTGCTCCCTGTCCCCGCCGCTGTGGCGCGAACCTGCATTGGCAAAAAGATGCCCCGTCCGGCTGCTTCAAAGTACTTGATGCAATCCTCTTTCTTTTTCAGCCGAGGCGCTATCCCCACCCCGGCAGGTCTGATGCCGCTGCTCCACGCTGTCTGAGGTGCGTCGTCGCTTGAAGGATTCTTCGCATCCTGTGGCTGCATGGCTGGCGGAAACTCCGATGCGCTGCATCAAGACTCGCATTGGGTGCAAGAACGGCCCTCAACCTCGACGCCACCAAAAGGCAAGAACAAGCGCACCACAAAGTGCGTCCCATCACCAGGAACAAGTGCTACAACCAGATCTACAAGTGCCGGGAAAGGCATAAATTTCAGGAAGGTCAACGTGCTGCGGCCCACAAGCTTCGACTCTATCTGAGGTTCAGGCCAGTGTGCTCGGCCTCACGCTGCCGCTTTAGCTCGCTGCGGGTGGGGTAGCCTCGGCCGATTGGTTGGGCAAGAGCTTTCAGCCGTCTGCCAATTCGGCTGTGCAGCGTGGGCGTTCATCCCGAGGGCAAAGGCTGCGGAGAGCTAACGCCCAAAAGCGGCATAGATCCTGCAAGGGAGCTCACAAGGCATAAAGTCCGCCGTGCGACAAAGATTGTCTGAAACAACAGCTCCTTCTTTGACGAGGATGCGAAGTGCACCTTGTCGTCTGCTATGGCCCAAGTATCCACGTAGTCTCTCCCTGCCGTCGCATTAAAGCCGTTGGCACGAAGAAGGCGCCTAGAAAAACCAATGATCCCACAGGCATGCAGCAGCGGAGGCTTGCATAAAGAAAGGCGACAGAAAAGGCCCCCGCCGGATGTCCCAGAGATTTTTATCGTAGATGGGGAGAGGCGCAAGGTACGAGTCCTGGTACCGCCTCACCATACACCGTTGCAAGCCAGTCTGCACCAGGTTTTTCTTGGATCTCGTGGCTATCTGCTCCCAAGGTTCTGGTACGAGCCGGCGATCACGAAGCCTACGTATTTCGCCTTTTTATCGGCAATCTCCATGATTTTCTCCCACGTTCTCACTTGTGAACTTGTGAGGGGACCTCAGGCAGCGGACTGTCAAGACATGTTCACTATCAACATCCAACCACTCCGGCGCATGAATCTCAGCTCCTGACTTCTCAGAATGTCATTTCCGAAGTAGGAAATTCCGAGACATTTGCAAGGGGCCATTTCTTTTAAGGCCTGCTCACAATGCACGAGACATCTCAAACTCCAAAACGCCATCCTGCCCCCTGCCTGCAGAATCTCTCTTGCTCCAGCACCAGCTTGATAGGTGACCTCCGTCGGGCCACCCATCATCTGCTCCAAGTCCCCCTTCAGGGGCTTCTTCTTCTTGCTGGGAGTCTTCACATAGAGTGAAGAGTCCCCCAGGAGCTGATATCGCTCCACAGTCATTGCTGCAGCGCCCAGCTGCTTCAACTGCTAACGTAACACTGCTCTCAAGTTGCGGATTCTTGGGCCCCAAAGAAGTCTGCCCGAAAATCTCTTCCTAGCTCGTACAGCTGCTGTGATGGTAGCGCCCTGGTGTAGGAAAAGGAAATCCAAATCCAATCCATGCGTCTGTGTTGCACCTAAGACTATGCCGCCCTTCCCAAAGTTTGTGCCCATCTGACTCAGGCTCTCAGCTCAGGAAATGGCGGCTGGGCGTCACTGCAACCTCCGACGCTTGCTCCGCAACTGTGGCCCTGCATTCCCCTCAGGCCTCCTCTGTGTCCTGCACTGCAGAGGGGGCATCTCATGCACCTTCGTTTCTACTCGCCCATCGGTCCATGTTGGCACTAAGTGCCTACCAAACAAGACTATGATTCACAAGGGCCGTCAGCATTCGAAAAATGAAGTGCTGCGTCAATTCTGACCCAGGCTGAGCTGCAGGCCCCAGCGCTCTGTAACCACTTCACGCTGAACTCCAGTGGCTCTGCATCAGCCTGGCAGAAGCGTGCAAAAAGCATGGTCAGCACCCCTATTGCTTGGAGGGAGTTTGGCGGACCCTGATGTTTGGGACATTCACAGATGACTACAAATTGCAAAACTGGCCCTATCGCGCTGTTGACCCTGCAGAAAGCCATGCAAAAGCTCCGTGCAGCCCAAGCAGCTCTTGCCAATCCGCTGTAAATGAGGACTGTGACTGCCGAAAGAAATCCATCCGAACCTACGATGCGCTTACCGTGCGCAGATGGCAAACCCACCTCTCCAGAATGTTGCCAAGCAGCTCCAAGTGATGCTGCTGGAGCGCTGGAGACGCGTTCCTGCTTGCAGATCGGACTGTCAGTCTGCCTCCTCTGCGACGTGAACCAAAGCCTCCTCTGGAGTTGACGGGGCAGTGCTGTCGCTGCGCGCTGTATCAACCACGCTGTACCTCAACATCAAGCACCACTCTGAAAACTCTGACATACGCAGAGTTCATTCGTGTAGCAGGCTTTGGGTTCCACAGTCTCGCGGGCAAACCACTTCCTAGCTGAGTTCACGTGTCAGACTGTGGTAGGCACAGGGCCATGGCAGTCTCTGCAACATAGAACCCTCAAGAACTCTGCATCTAACAAGGGCCTCTACGTCGTCCACATCCTTCCCACACAGCTGCCAAGCCTCATCAAGTAGCAGAACAGCACATGATGTGGGGATGAGTCGTTCCAGTGGTCCAGCCATACCTTCTCCACCATCATACGAGAATACGCAAAAACAAAAAAACAAAAAAACACGCACTGGAACGCGCAGATGCACCGACTGTCACCAACCCTGCCTGGTCCAGGTAGCTCTCAGCGTCCATGTAGCTTGTGTGCTGACTCCATGTGCATGCTAAAGATATCTACGCAAACACTTGACAACACAACCTGCTGACAAGTGTTCCATCCGCATCTGTCCATGCACGTGCATGGCTCAGGCCTTATCCGAAAGCAGGGCCTTGAGAGGATGTTGAGTGGTTCCAAGGCCTTTAGGAAGGTGCCCGCAACCTCTTGAGCATGGAACTGCAGCCAAACATCCTTTCCCTCGTCTTTGGACACTGTGCTAAGCCAATCTGACAAAGGTCACCGAAGAATCCTTTGTCTCTTGCGACCTTGGGCTTAATCGCCAAGCACTCATCTACCCAAGTTACAGGAGTGTGAGACACTTGTCCATAGCCAAGTGGTCCTTGTCCGGGTATGCCTGCGTGCATGTTGTCCTTCTTGCACTGCTGGCTCACCAGTAGCTGGCAACGAGGCACGCTTCTCTAACGTTCGCACATTTTGGCGTCTTCCTTGCTTGGGCGACCCCAGTCGATTGTCACGTTCTACGTTCGCGCCTGCAGGCAATAACTAACGCAGCCAATGCACAAGGATCCAGCACTGTCTCCCGGCCAACTCATCAATTCCTGGATCCTCCCCAAGCTTGTTGTGAAATGTTGTGAACTAAACCATTCGTTCCTTCACTGGAGCATTCATAAGCCGTGCTCGCTGGAACTCCGCATCACCAGGGCTCGGCTCCTTCTCCTTCTCGCGCTTCCTCTTTCCCTCGAGTGGTTCTTCTCTCACGGCTGCCCCTTCTGAGGAACGCTCCGGCGCAGAGTGCTGTCGTTCCGTTCCACCACGACTGCGGAAGATGCTCACCTTTCTCCGTGAGGAGCCTTACAGGCGAACACCAAAGTCATGACGAAAGCAGTTTTGTTCGCACCCCCGCAAGGAAACGCCCGTTACGACTCAAAAGCAGAAATTATAGCAAAAGCCCGTTTTCGCATGTAAACGCCGGCACACGCAGGCTAAGGGAAGTCCTGCAAGCATTCGCTTTGTGAGGCCTCTTGGCAACGGAAGTAATAACGAACGGCTTTCTTACCCTTGGACTGCTGCTCTAGACGCCTGCCTTCGCTGTGGCACGAGTAGAAGAAAAAGCAGCAAACAATGCTTCGAACAGCCCAAAACCCCACAGCGGGAAACTCATGGCGTTCAGGAATCCCATGCATCTCGCAAAACCACCGGACCTCCAGGCTATATGAACTGAGGCAACAGACAAACACATCTCAAATGTAGCAGATCTGCAAGGACGCCGTGCATTGATGTGCATTGTAACGACCATGCGTGTTTGGACTTCCCACTTCAGACTGCACATGAACTGAAAATCGCTACGACTTCGGTGGACCCCCTGTAGCAATTGTGAGCCGCGCGCGCAGTCGCCAAGTTCAGAGCCCTTATTTAGGCATGCTAAATGCCAGAGGCATTGCAAGGCGAAATAGAAAAAAAAACCGAGCAACTAACCACATCCATGCCAGCAACCTACCACAGACGCAGGCCTTGTTGCTGGCTAAGCTGTTTTCTAATGGGCACAAGCCGGCCGAGCTCTGTGGCTGCGCAATTGAGAAGCCAGTCTGAATCCATCAGACTGATGGCTCTAAGCATACTCCGAACACAGGTGGCTCGAGTCCGTAGGCCTTCGATGACAGCTGTCCTGCCTGTGCGCTGCGATCTTCGCACGGTTCCATCGCCCTGCTCTGCAAGCAGACGAGATGGATTTATGATAACTTCATGTCGGGAGGTCAATACGAATCATACATATACTCCAAAATGAAGCAAGCACTTCAAGTTCAATGCCCATACGAGCCGACTTCTTCAAGCATTGGCTTCGAGACTTCTTTTTCAGCTTCGAGACTTCTTTTTCAGCCCAGCCCTGTTTCCATGGACTACAGAGTGCTGGTGTGGAGGAAGCTTCAGCAGAGGAATCTGCAAACGTTTCTGAACAGAATTCAGCATCCTGTGCAGGAACAGACACCCAAGTTACAAGCCCTTGCTTTAAGGTTGGACCATCTCTTTTTGCCCATCTTTCACGACTAGTAGGTTGTGAAGCTGGCTAGCTGAGTACTTTATAGTGCTTTGCCTGTGCCGTAGCTCGGATTTCCGTCATCTCGCAAAGCCAACCCGTCAGAAACTACAAGCTATCATTCGCCGCGCTGGAGACCCTGCCAGCACATCCTTATGTCTGCTTGTGTCGGCACTTGAATAAGGTTCGCCGGCGCATCTTAGCGTGGTCAAATCTCCGGAGACTGCGGCTGTGTAATTCAACTTACCCCGCCTACCCTTCAGGTTTCAAGCAAACAACCCTCCGTCCTCCATGGTTTCACGCCGGCGTGGTCGAGATGCGAGACCTGTCCAACGGCCAAAGGCTAATGGAGCCAAATGACGCAGAGTAGCTGCTCTCAAAGTTCTTCTGAAGTCTACCTGACCCACACTGAAAGGTGAAATGAACCCGCTTCCCTGTTCAGAACTTGTGGAAAGGTAACAATGTCATCGGAGCCTCTTCATCTTTGCGGCCATCTCGCGCACAGCCTTGATGCCATCCTTGGCGGATTCCTGTCAGCCAGCTTCTCCTACATCCTCATCGACAATCTGAACATGCTCCATACACTGCCTTGCACATGTTGCACCTCCATTTTGTCTGCATCCTCCTGTGCTTGGCCCCTATCGACTCGGCATGGGCCTCCTTGTCAGCATGCGTTGTCGATCTCCCCCCAGCGCGCAGCCCAGACTTTGAGGGTTTTAAGGCTCTGGCGAATGCACATGGTCCTCTGACGACCTGCACAAGACTGGAGCTTGCACCTGATGCCCGCTAGTGATATTTGCTCGCCAGCTTTTAATTCAAAAAAAAACTGACGCCATTCATGTCGACGGTAATGCTCATAGCCTCATACCACTTTGATGGAACCTGAGGTGCCAATTCCTGATTTAGCAAATTCTTGCAAGAGCAATTACAAAGCTGCGTGCTAAGCTGAATGAAAACCTTGTCATATCTTGTCGTGTACGCACAGGGCGTCAACAAAAGAATTCTTACTGCTGATCAGCAGATGCAGTCGTGGCCATGCATGATGAGACATAGCTTGTTGTCATAGCCCCACGTCCAAGTGACAACATGTCCCTGAATAGTCTCTGTGGGGGACCCCTATAATCCTCACATGACGCCCAGATGTCCTGTTTTTAGGAGTATAGTCCCCTTAAGTAGATAGAATATGGGGTATACGGGCATCTTATCTTTTAATATACCCAAAACCATATTCTATCTACCTAAGGGGGACCATAGCCCCTATATATACCCCATTATACTATAGCAGTTTCCATGTTCTCTTCCACTATCCCTAAAATAAGCCCAAGAATAGACCCCATATTCTATCTACTTAGGACACTATATGACCCTAAACCCCTAAACCCTAAATTGTAGATTCATTTTTTGTCCACCATCCCAATATATACCCTATATTCTATCTACTTAAGGGGGGCTATAACCCTGAACCCTAAACCCCATATTCTATCTACTTAAGGGGGGCTATACCCACATCATTGCAAGACAGTGCCTGCAGCCGCGGCATCAAGGCCCAAGTAGATCTGCGAAAGCCAGATCAGCAGGATCACACAGTTTCGGAGACGCGCAGCGCGCATACAACCCTATAGAACCCCAATATAACCCCAACATAACCCCAAGATAACCCCAACAGAACCCCAACATAACCCTAACATAACCCTAACATAACCCTAATATAACCCCAATATAACCCCAACATAACCCCAACATAACCCCAATATAGCCCCAACATAGCCCCAACATAACCCTGACATAACCCTAATATAACCCCATTATAACCCCAACATAACCCCAATATAGCCCCAACATAACCCTAACATAACCCTAATATAACCTCAATATAACCCCAACATAACCCCAACATAACTTATAACCCAAACCCTAACATAACCCCAATATAACCCCATTATAACCCCAACATAACCCTAATATAACCCCAACATAACCCCAATATAGCCCCAACATAACCCTAACATAACCCTAATATAACCCCAATATAACCCCAACATAACCCCAATATAACTTATAACCTTAACATAACCCAAATATAGCCCCAACATGACGCCAACATAACCCTAACATAACCCTAATATAACCCCAACATAACCCCACTATAGCCCCAACATAACCCTAACATAACCCCAGTATAACCCTAATATAACCCCAACATAACCCCAACATAACCCCAATATAACCTATAACCCTGATATAACCCCAATATAACTTATAACCCTAATATAACCCCATATCATATTATACAGTACCCCTAAGGGTGCCTCTGCCTGGAAGGTGGGCTCCTGCAAGCTGCATCACTACATGTACTATAGCCTAAACTCCTTGAAAGGGGTTCTATGGGGGATTCTATCGGGGACTACTATAGGGCTTATTAAGGGGGATACCAGGAGTTTCGAGGAGTTCTAGGAGTTTCGAGGAGTTTAGACCATGGCTCACGTGAGTTTCTGAAGAGAACCCAAATGCTGCTACGTGTGTTGATCTTGCTGCTGTGGGGAGGTTGTCAAAACTTATGGGGGTTTCTATTGGGGTTCTTTTATATTGAGATGGAAAATAAAATGAAAACTACTATAGACTATAATATATTCTGACTGCAACTGGGCTTAACATTTCTCATTCCGCACGAAGGCTTCCTTCGGTGAATTTGCTCTGCTGAACCAAGCTGGGTCCACGGCCCCACTGTGCCGAGTGCGGGCATCGACCACTTTGGTCTCCACTGACTCGATGCCGTTCCTCCGAACGAAGCGAGGTCCAGTGCAAGTGAGCTGGCCAGGATACTACAAGTACTACTACTGCTACTACTACCACCACCACAACCAGCTGTTGATTGGGGCTTGCAGTCACCTCATGAAGAGAGAGAGTGTATGTCACAGTGTATTACAATGATTCCAGTGCATCACTGTTATGCAAAGGATGTGTTGTGAACTGGAGGCCCTTGCAAGTATCGCAAATCTGGTAGTTTCCATATCTAGAGGACCTCAATATAGACCTTATAGTCCTTGTGATAGAGACCCCCAAAGAGGTACCCCAAATTTTGGGAAACCCAAAACCCTATATATCCCAATATATCCCCGACATATCCCCTATAACCCCCTTGACAGGTACCCAATTTTGGGAAATCCCAATGCATTGCTGTGCGCCAGGCCCGGGTGTAATGACAGGTCGCGACTTTCGAGCTTCAGCGCTTCGGGACCTGGGTTTAGGGTCTAGGGTTTGAAGATCAAGCCCCTCAAATATCTCTACAAAACATGAATCACAAATCATCCAACCAGATATAACTCCGTATGGCCACTTTATATGGTAGTTTCCCAAAGTAGGGGGACCCCCATATAGACCCCAAAAATCCATATTGTCCTTATTATTATAGGGACCCCCAAAAAGGTACACCTAATTTAGGGAAATCCCCATATAACCCTATGCAACACCTAGAGAACTCCCATTGCCCTAATTTTGGGAACTACCCTAAACCCTACATAATCCCTTACATAGCACCCTGATGTTGGGAACTACCCACATACTCCCTAAACCCTAAACCCTAAACCTATATTCTCTTATTCCTAAACCCCAAACCTATGTTCCCGTATCCCTACAAAGCACCAGTAAGCCTGCCCTGCTGCAGCCTCGATCGGGAGGGAGCTTGCCGCTGGGCAGGTGACCTTGCGACGCTTCCGCCAAAGGTTGGTAGGGAATCAGGGAATAATATATCTATATATGTAATATATATATATATGTATAAGGTCAAGGGTTAGTAGAGAATAAGGGTGCCACCAAGTGGGAGTATTTACTACTAGCCACTAGTCTCACTTGGGGTTAGGAGGGAACAAGGGAATATATAAGATAAGGGGTTATAGTCTTTTCACATCTACTAACCACCAGTAAGCAGCTTTTGGGGGGCAAGGATGATTGTTAGCCAGCCCTACACCCAAAACCCTAATGGGGTTTAGGGTTTAGGGTTTAGGTTTATGGGTATAGCAGCTTCGATGTTCTAAGTCTTCATGGCCGCCCTGTTCACCTTGACGTCAATGGGAGCATGTATTGACATCATCATCACGATATGGTGGATGTACAGGGGATACATAGGGATATATAGGGCTTAGGGTTTCACAAAAATTGGTGGCCCTTCTGGGAGTCTGAAACCAAAGGATTCTAGCAATCGGGGTCTATATTGGGATCCCTCTATTCATTGAAACTCCCATAATATCACTGCTGCTACTACAACCACTACCACTGGTGTTGGCGATCATTTCTATTACTACTACTCTGTTACTATTACTATTTCTATTACTATTACTATTACTATTTCCATTACTATTTCTATTACTATTACTATGATTATTGCTATTTCTATTCCTATTATTACTAATGATGATTATTGCTGCTGGTTGTTGCTTTTACTTCCCAACCTTCGGGACTCAGAGCGCCGGCGAGGTGGCGAACGGCTGTCATGGTGACCTTGCTCGCGCGCGCGCGCGATTGTGGGCTAAACTGGCAGCCAGCTTCTTGACCTCGCTGAATTGACAGATTATATGCTAATTTGTGGGGCCCCAGTATACACCCCAAAATCTCATAGTCCTTAATATGGGGACCCCCAAAAAGGTACCCCTAATTTTGGGAAACCCCCATATAGATTGCACTGTCGTTGCTAGGAGGCAGACGGCGCGCGGAGCGGGACCTACGTGGAGTTTAGGTCCAAGGCAATTGTTGTAATATCCTAGCACAGCTTTGAGAGGAACCAGATTACAGCTTTAAGAAGCATCGGAATCCCAGTGGTCACTCGCGGGCCGCTTCCTGCCTCCGCCGTCGTGAGTCTGAGCGCCTGCAGATTAGCGGATCAGCTTTGCTTGGGAATCCTGCTGCCAGCTGAGCGCTGCGTGTTCGGCCTAACAGAATATCCTCCTAGCAACCCGGCATTGGGTGCAGCAAGCATGTGACCTGCCCTGCACACAAATCAGCATGGAGGCTTCCGACACAGGAACATTCAGGCATCTGGTGTTTGTGAGAGATTATTGGGACCTTCGTCGCGGTGACGGGGAGCGTGGCGGCATGAGGCTACAGAGCTCGAAGCTGAAACTTCTAAAAGGTTCTAAAAGGTTCAGACCTCATCCCTTCGCTGTCTGTACAAGCCTTCAGAATCTGACTTCACAACCCTCCAAAGGCTGAAAGACGTCACACCAACTGCGATAGGGGGATGGCCCGGGGATGGCTGAAGGCAGTCTTGCACCAGTTGTGTCTGAAACATGACGTGTCAAACATCACAAGATCTTGAGCAAAGCGGCAATCAAGCACTAGCAGCACGTGGCAAGTGGCCAGCGAAATGCTCTTCACAAGAGCAAGGCAGCTACCGAAGGCATTTTCCGCTGCCGTTGAAACTGCGGACCACTTGTGGGATCGAGGGGCTGGCGCCGACATCTTGGGGCAGGGCCACTTTGCTGTTGGAACAGTTGGTATGGCAGCGCAGCCCCTTCAGCTTATGAGTCAGTCAGTAGGCTCTTGAAAGCGATGCCCAATATTGCTTGCACGCGGAGGACTCGCATCAGTGTTTTTGCTGACTAGTTTTGGTCCGCCTCGACTCCTCCCCATGGCACCTGCACCTAACTACGGTTCTAGCAGCTCGCATTCATTGCAAAGTCATCCGAAGACTTCTATGATACCTGACAGACAATGAGACACAGTGAGCTCAAGTCAGTGGAAATG